AAAGGTGGGTGAAGGACTCCTGACTGCTCCTGTCCCTTGGGACGTGGGAGTTTCCCACCATGGTGTCCTGCCCCATAGCTTTGAAAGGGTCTCAACAGTACTGCTTGTTGATGTAGAAGCTATACAGCATGGGACTTCAGTCATTAATTGATTGTGATTATTACAGCACAAAGATAAGTTTATAGTTTTATTGTTTCTGCCCCATCATGCACCTAATTATGCTGTATTGGATATGGTTCTCTGGAACCAAATGACAGTATATATATGGGAATTAGTCTCCATTGACCCTTTTCACCTCTCTGTTTTCGCAGACTTACCCTGCATCTTTTAGTACCAGAATGTCACTGGATTTAGTTAATATGTTTGCAAAATATTTAGATTGGTGGTAAAACTGACTTTGTTGAACAAAACAGCTCTTCAGTTGATGTAACTGGTGTGATTTTAGAATGGTACCATTATATAATGGTACCAAAAATCCCAACTGATATATTCCATGTTATAGATTTTGCTCCTCTCATCAGCAACGAAGTCAATTTTAATGTGTGTGAAAAGATATTTCAGATATTTGGACAAAGCGCAAAAAAAAAAAAAAAGAGATCCTACAGAAGTTTGCTTTTCTCTGCTGTGATCTAACCTGATGCTTCTTGTGTTACATTTTGGCAGTTGCCAGCACTGGGACAAGGATTTGTACATCCCTTTCCATTTAATGCAACAATATTCCACACACATCTCATTGCAATGTTATCTATTAATTTCCCAGTTTTGGTAGGACAGCATCTGTTGCTGGTGGTTGACCATTTCTTGTTGAAATACCTGTGACTTCCTTACCTCTTTTAGTACTGGGTTCTAAAATTGCTTATTTTAGGTTTAATACCAGTTCTTGTGATGTAATTTGTGACAAAACTGTAGTGACATTGCTGTTCGAAATATAACTGCACATTATAATTATATAAGCATTGAAAAATATTGAGTAAAAAAAGTTCATTTTCACTGTCAATAATTTATGAAGTGCAAAGAAATGATGAAATTTACATCCATGCTGACTCAGAGGTCATTTTCTAAGGTAAAAGTTTGCACACTGAACTGGAAGATTTGAGTTTTGTTAGTATGGTGGGACAGATTTTCCTTTAACTATTTGAACACATTTCTTAGGCAAACATTGTTTCTCAGGTATCTCAGGTAACAATAATGAGAACTGTAGCCTTTGTGGAAAATAGTAGCTTCCCAAAAGAAGACAGAGTCTGATGTGTTCATGTCCTAATCCTGGGCTCTGGGAAGACCTTTTATTCAGAAACCTGAATAATCTGTGGTGTTGTAATGCCTCCATTTTGTGCAACTTTTAGTCATCTGAAATCCCACCTTTTTTGTTCCTGACTGTAAATGTTGACAAAGTGCCCATGTCAAACATGGGTCATGGCTAGTGTGGGAGATGCCAGCAGAGACACCTGCAGCTTCTACTTTTTAAGAAGTGTTGCAAGTTTGGTCCCAGCTTCAAAGCAGAGTGGCTCCTCAGAACTGATACTACAGAAAACCACAGTTCTTTACCAGTTTTTAGTTTTCAATCACCCACAAGGAGGTCAGATTGCTTCAAGGACAGCTGTGCTATCTGGTGATCCTGGCAGTGCCATAATTTCCTTTCCCTCCTCCTCTGCCCGTCTCTCACTCCTCTGCTCTCACTGATGAAGCGACAACTCTGTGCACATGTGGCAGGAATAAGTTGGCCTCTCTTTTCTTTTAAATAGTTTGTTTGGTAAAGTTATCTGTATAAACTAATGTTTAGTTAGCGGTTTCAATTTTACAATGCTTTTTTTACTTTCTGCAGCTGAACATCTATCAGTTGATGCAGATGGGGAGAACTAAAATGGTTAAGATTTAATCTGTGTTGGGTTTTCTTTTCTGGAATAATTGATGTTTTTTACTGTTTGTTTCTACCAGCAGTAGAGTGGAAATCATGCAAAATGCTCTTTCAATCTAGAATTAAATTACAACATTTTCAAAGCACACTGTATAATAGTGTTTTCTTCCCTGGGTAAGCATCCTTCATTTTCCTTTTAATTTTTAGTACCTAATCAGATCATGGTTTCCTAACTGAATGAAACCCCCTCGTTTTCAGAAAAGGTTGAGTTGCTTGGTAAAGTTTTTCTTGGAAGATGTGGCTGGTAATGATGCAGTGTAATATGAGAGCAAGAAATTCCTTTCATTTTAAAAATGGTATTGTAAGTGCACATTAAATAATCAGAAGGCCCAGACTCCAATTCTTTCAAGCCTGTCTATTGGGCAAACTTGTAACAAGCTCACACACAACTGGTAAGCTGGAGCTTATATGAAAATTTATCTGCACAGATCCAGCTTCACCTTAGCTATGCTGATAATCAAGGTTCAGAGGTCTGCATGGAAAGAAGGTGCACTCCTTTCCCACTGCCTCCTCCCATCCTTCTGTCACACCAGGCTGAGTCCTGCAAGTTTATGGGACAGGGCTCACTGTCCTTACTGAGTCATGGCTGCTGTTAGTTATTGTCTTCATATCACAGGAAGGTTGTCAGTATTATTTAACCAAGAATAAATGATTTTGTGCTCCTGCTTTTGTCACTGCCTATTGACTTTCTTCCAGCTCATGACTCTGAATAAATATACAATAGGTTGGTTTTCCAGTTATTCTGTTGTTAGCCTAAATAATGTGGTGTAGTTGTTCCTTCTCATGTAAAGGTAAAAAAAAAAAAAAGAAAAAAGGGTTTACTTTCTCATTTAAATGTGCACATGAATAAAGGGTGAAAATGTGGGAGGCTATTGAATACTGAAGAGTACAGACTGTGACTTTTTGGCAACATTGAATGTGTTTGATGATGGTGTAATGCTGGGAAATGTGTGTTCAGATTTGCAAAGGAATTCTGGGAAACTTTACTGTATATTCCCTAATGGTTGATCAGAAATAACTTAAGGAATACTTAAAACCATCCCTAAATTTATATATGTTCTTAATTGTCACTGATGTGCAGAACGCTTACAGAGATCAAACAAAAAAGGAAGGAATGCATGAAGTCCTTACTGCTAGCTGGGATATTTTTCTGCTTGTGTGAACCAGGAATTTTTTTCAATAAATGGTTAACACAGAAAAAGCTACAGGCATTTTTGGCTTTTTCTGAGGTATTTTTTAGGTTCTTTCCTCTGCCCACACTTCTAAAGGATCACTGCGGCTTAAAAAAAAAACTGTAGTGGTTTTTTTATTATGACAAAGCAGTTTTTACATCAATTTAAAAAATTACATCATGTTTCAACACTAATGTATTGCTTTGGCTGGTTTTTATCTCCTTCCCATCAAAATATACTGTTGTTTAGTTTCTTTCAGCATAGAGGAGAATACAAGTAGATTTTAGTAGGTCTGGATAAACTGTGGTGCATGTGTCTTTTTGTATGTGTGTATGTGGGGAGAGACTCTGTAGATATGTAGAAGTGTTACCAAATAAACCAGCCTGTGATAATTGTGTGTCCTGTAACAATTGGTTTACATCCAAAACAGGGCAAAATGCACTTGCAAAATTCATTAAAATACTATGAAAATGTCATCTTCCCTTACATTCTGTTTAAGCAATTATGCTGCTCGCTGTAAAAGATAAATCTAAGCAGTTACAGGGTACAATATATTTGTAGATATGAATTCACAACAAAATTATGTATTTCTTGGCCAAAGATACTTGCTCACAAATTAATTTTAGGATCTGAGCCCAAAAATCTAGAGGGTCTGGGCACCCAGTAGTCATGAAGGGTACTTGTCTGTCAAAGTTTTCTCATATTAATGACTTTGTTGAAACAGGATGTGGGTCTCTAAATAAGGCTTTAGCAGCTTCAGTTTCTATTAGAAAATTCTGGCTGTGGAATAGGGACCTGTGGGGAGTAAAGTAAAAGGTTGCTTTGTACTTCAACTTCCTACAAGTTTTATGACTGAATCCTATGAAACTGGTTTTCCATGTGAGAAAAAAAAAAGTATCTGTTTTTAGTTTTATTTTGCTTCTATTTTTCCTTTTAATAATTGAAAACTACTGTTCATTATTTACATAAAAGTGTCTCACTTGAGCCTGCTTTCCATAACCTTTTCCCTCATAAGAATTCCAGGAATTTGCTGGCTTTCCTCAGGGGGATCTTGGCCATGTTTTATCTGTGACTTTAGGCCAGATAGTTGATAATTTCTGCAAAGTAACTTACTATGTTTAAATTGCATTTGCCTCTGCATATATTTCCCATTTGAGCACATTTCAAGAAGTAATGTGCATAGAAGAATATGCATTTTAATACAATGTTCAGCCTTCTTGGTAACTGGCAGTAGATCTCCACGTGTAAAATGGAAAGCCCCTTGGAAAAAAATACTAATAATACAAACCCCTAAAAGCCCAGAAGGCAAAGTATTTCAGCTGTTTTTCTAAGAATCTGCCACTTACTGTTTCCCTTTTTGACTCCTGACTTGCTCTTTTTATCCCTTTTATTAAAATGAGGACGTGTCAGAACCGGAGGCCTTGAGCCCTGTATAAAGTGACCCCAGTACAAACCTCCAGCATTCCTCATCTTTCCCTCTCTCCAGCTGCTAACATCAGCCAAGGCAGCACGCAGGCTTGGCTGCCGCCAGCTTCCTGGCTCTCCCCCTTCCTCCTCCCTTCCCGCCCTTCTCCAATTGCCAGTACAGTCAGCACTGCTTCATATTAGGCACCGTTGCAATTATTTGAAATCTCAAGTACAAGAGCTGTTGTTGTGTCACTTCAGCTGATATCAGCTCCTAGAGGGCAAAGTGTGGGAAGAAAGGGACTTTCTTCAAAGTGTACAGCTTTTTCTCTCATGTGAATTGCTCGGTAGATGTTTCGTCTGACATATTCAAGTAGAAATTATTTGAAAATCACCTGGAGAATAAATGGGGTTCGTTAGATGGAATCATATTTCCCAGAAAGGCTCCTGAATGATGGTGTCTCCCAGGTTCATTTTCTAACTCATTCTTTCATGTCCATCTACCACAGGATATTTCAAAGATGGTTTGGCTGCCATTGAGACCTGGAGATCTGATGCCACAATGAGGACTCACACACGGGGAGCCCCAAGTGTGTTTTTCATACACGCGGTTTGCTTTGCCTTTGCCTGCGGCGCCAGGGAGGACCAAGACACGATGGTTCCTTTTGTCAACGCCAACTATGACAGCTACCCCATGCTCTACTTCTCCAAGGGAGATGTGGAGACTCTGCGGCTGCAGGCCAGCACCACGCACCAGCACATTGCGGCTCGTCTGATTGAAGCAGTGCAAACCATGCTGTCAAATCCCCTGGAGTACCTTCCTCCCTGGGACCCAAAGGAGTTCAGCGCTCGCTGGAATGAAATTTATGGCAACAACCTTGGGGCCCTGGCCATGTTCTGTGTGCTCTTCCCTGAAAATATGGAGGCTATCAATATGGCTAAGGATTACATGGAGAGGATGGCAGCTCAGCCTAGTTGGTAGATTTTTGTCTTTTTTTTTTTTTAAGTTATTCTTACTGTATAAACTGCTTACAGTTGGAGGAGTGCGTGGATAAGTGAATTGCTTAAATTTTGTCAGTTGTACTAATATTCATTTTAACAGCAACTAACTTGCTGAATGCATTTACCCTCATCTGGACCAGTAGTGACACACAGCTTTTCACCTTCACTGGACTTACCTTCTTGAAAGTTAATACTGAAAGGAAAAAAAAACTTTAAGCAAAACTCTTTTTTCTTTAAAAAAAAAAAAAAAAAAAAAAAAAAGTAATCCAAAGCTACTCTAAATCAGAAGAAAGCATTTAATATCTGGTTTTTGGCAAAAAGTGCTAACATTGTTATATTTAATTTTTTTTCCCCCAGATTCATACATATCCTTTGGGAAGAATTTAGGAAAGGGGGACCTATGAAAACAGTATAATTAGGTGTAGGTAAAAATTACACTCTTGGGCTTCTGCAGTCTTCTCTGACATCTGTCTGAGCTTTGGTTCAGACTGGCAGCTTCACTTGGCTGCATGGCTCTTGGGCCTCTCCTCAAGACATACTAAGACATGATAGTTGTCTATCTGATTACTGGAAGTGCCTGAGTAATTGGCATTTTGATGACTACCTCCTGGATTAACTTCCTCTGAATGTGAGTTGTCATCCCTACAAGTTACTTTGTCTTCTCTGTGCCACACTCTTTCTATGGGAAGAGAAGTTAATGTTCTCACTGTAGGAGTGATTCTAGAGTTGGTACCCCAAGGTCTCTTTCTTTTCATACCCACCTGCAATTTATCTCCCCTTTTTGCTAAGGCAGATGCATTTCCCTTACCTCCCTGCACCAGTTGCCACTTGGTGAACCTTGCAGCCTACAGTCCAGAATTACTGTCACTGTGAATAGGTCAGAGGGCAGGGATGTGGGCTTTGCCAGGATAGTGACATCAGAATAGGGCAGCAAGATAGAGCTGGATGGGATACTGCTCCTTCTGTCATAGCTGCTCTTCTACAGGTCTGTGGTGACAGCAGCTCAGCAGAAGTGTGAGTCAAGATTCAAGTCAACACAGGAAGAGAAGCATTAGCTGTTCAAGCAGGATTCATTGCTCAAACTACTATTCCTTATCCTCTAGTAACCAACTAGTAGTTGGTTAATGTTATCCTTCCATGGGCCATCACTGGAATTATGCTGTATTTGAGCCAGCATAACTTGGGATCTATATCCTCCTGATGGGCATGATTGAAAAGCCATTATAGTGCTTGGGTTCCCTTGCACTAAGTATTAAAATATTCTGTGAATGCCACAGAAGTACATGAGCTAGAGCAAAAGAAGTGATGGGAGACAGAAGTGACACACAGGCCTGCATGTCACAGAAGAGAGGACATGGGATTTAGGAAGAAAAATATCGTCTCAACAGTGGTGGTAATTTCCAAAATCTCCCACTGAAGCATAGCAATACAAAGCTTCAGTCTTAGCCCTGGAGACAGTGTGGAGACAGTTTCTCTTGGCACACTGACAGAGGGATATAGCTTACAGAGGTGAATCCAAGGATGTGTGGCCATCTCCAATAGGACACAGACTGCTCCAAAGTCAGCTCCTTCCTCCTTAGTTTCATTGTTCACACTCTTTCTTAACTTGTTTTTGGAAGGCTATAGTTATGTGGCCATCTGTTTTAATGAAATTAGAAAGAGGGGGAAGCATTATTTTGAGTAGGAGGACTTGTTTGTGTCTCTTTTTTTCAGTTTCCTACATCTTACTCTCTGTCTCAACCTTATTTAAGTTCCTTATGTTCTGTGATTCCTGCCCTGGATTAATTGTGGTTGTTCTGTCCCTTGTTATAATGCTCTCCTTTGTCGCAGTTGACCAGATACCAATCAGAACCAAGCAGATATCCCATTTCCTCTTGGCTTTGATGTTATTTACTTGCCTCCAACTACTGTTTTTTCTCAAACAAGTATCTTACATTACCTTTGTGAAAGAAAAACCATGCTTTTCCTGAATTTCCCTTCTAGTGTAGACATCCCATTCAGAAATCAATCAAGTTTAATCAGGATTTACTGCTTTGCAAAAGGAGTGGCTGCAATATGCTTAGTAGTAGTAGAAGTGCAGGAGGAAATTTTAAACATAGGTGATAGAGCTGGGCTAAGCTGCCCTTTGTATAACCTCCAGCTGGCCAGCTCCTCAAATGCTGTGGCAGAAACATGAATCTGGTTTCCATTTTTGTTTCCTCCCTGAGAACTTGTGTCTCAATGCTGTCAGCATGGAGTTTATGCTATAGCCCTATCAATGGTGGCAGTAAAACAGATCTCTCTCCCTTGTCCAACAGTGGTTTTCAGAAAAGTAGGAATGTGACATCTCTGAGGCATGTACTGCACTGTCTGGCTTTGCTCAAATATGCTGGGTTAGCAGGCTGAAGGACTGGGCAGACAGATTATATAAATCTGTTTTTCCTAAGAAGCTCAATTTAAAAGTACCAGAAAATGTTACTGCATGTACTTCACTTAGGATAAGACTAGGAGAATAAACATGATAAACAGGAGTTCTGGCTGTTATGTGAGCTGTTCTAGCAGTGTCAGAGTGGTGGAATTTTTTGTCCAGTCTATCTAGGCATGTTTGGTTTTCCTCAGACTTTGGAAAAATACCATTCTGGATGATATATTATAATTCTTGTCCTTATTAAATAATTTGAGGGCACATGTGTTCTGGTCAGGAGGGGGAAAAGAAGGAACAGTCTTGATGTTGCCTGACTTTGGAGCCTTGCATGTTAGGAGAGTCATCTGCAATAACTCTTAATTTCATCAGAAAAGAGGGCTTTTCCAAAGAGGTATCCATAAAGTAAGAAAAATGGGCCTCTCCTTAGACCTCCTCAGTAATGTAGGTTTCAAGAGTGACATGTAAATTTTCTGGAAAAATATCTTTTTTATCACTGACAGATTCATCAACATGTTGGAAAGTTAAATCTGGCATTGGCAGCTTAATTCTTTCAGCAGTATAATCTGGATCTCTTTTGACTTCTGCTGTCATGGCGTTGGCTAAAAAAAAAATTTAAAAAAAAAAAAAAAAAAAAAAAAAAAAAAAAAACTTAATGAGTTATCTCTAGTGTTTGTGGCAATGTTAAGTAAAATTTAAGCCTTACCAGAAAACAAAAATGTATGTTTTTAGCCTCTGCAGTAGTTGAATAAAAGAAATATGGTTTAAAATGTCACTGGTTATTTGTTTCAGAATTCTAGGAGATTAAGGAGACTGACATTTTAAATTTCTTCTTTACATTAGTGGAATCCTCAACAGTACAAATATCCCAGGATACAATTATGAGAAAGTTGACAGGTAATTGATATATACATGGAAGGGGCATGTAATTAAGAACTCTGGTCCTTTCTCATCTATTAAAGTAGTCATTTTATGTCACTTAATAAACTACACCCATAACTGAGTTCCCATTTGTGTCAGCTAACAGAGGTTGAGTCATTTGTCATAACAAACCATGTGGATAGGCATGCTGCTCATTAGCAGAGCATCCCTAATGGTTACATCCCAGAGTAGGTTTACATTTTAAAATAAACAGAGGGGCACTGGGTAACAGCTAACTATAACAATCACCCAAAATAATATGGGAACTACACTTTTGTGGTGACTAGCAACAGCAAACAAACGTGAATTGATATTTTAGTTGAAATAGATGAGCATTAATGGTTTTGCTTGTAAAAATTAAAAGCTGGTATTAAATAAACCTGTTGGGTTAGATATCTAGATACTTTCTAAAATCTTACGGGAAGTTTGTCCTTATATTTGAACCATAATACCTTTTTATAGAGGGAACAGAGGATATTGATGTGTTTTCTGGCATTTTATCTCTGACTGTCCCCTAGAGCACTCCCCACCAGAAGGGTGTTTTGGCCAAGAAGATCTGTGCTCGTGATTCTTTCCATATGCCTCTGGCTCGTCCCGTTCCCGCACTGAGTGGAATGATGTAATCAGAGTCACACATTGTGCAGAAATAACAGTTCAGTCAGATTCTCTGGTTTGAACAAAACAGTGAAAAGCTTTCTTTCCTAAGCCCACCTTACAAACAAATGCCTTGAAAGTTCGCAAATTCTGTACCCTTCTTGTAGCAAGAGAGATATTCCAATTTGTAGTGGCCAGAAACATTTCTGTGGGTTTGTTTTTGGGCTTTTTTGCACATACTTGATGCTCCATTTTTAAAGAGAAGTATGTTTACCAATGTGCAGTAAGGTGTGGGATTTCACACTGGCTCTGTTGGTTTCACAGGGCAGATAATTACTCTCGAGCACATGCAGACATTCCAAGCAAATAGAAGCAACTAACGAGAAGCTAACAGGAGGCTTTGGGATAACAAATCTGTGACCTTTCTGCTGCTTTCTTATAAACTAGCAATCATGTAAGCTTCTGTTAAAAAGTTTTGGAGCATCCTATATAGGACCCTTGCTGCTAGTATGCAGATAGTGCTAGATGTTGAACAGTACAGATTACAAGGTAAAAATAGATATGTGTAAATAATTAAACATGTGGATAATAATCTAACTAAAATAAATTCATATATGCCAAGTTGAAATAAAGCAAGTCTCTGTGCTGACACCAGAAATTTATAACTTCTGTTTGACTCCCAATAATCAACTAGCAATCACATTAAAAAAAACTTCGGGGGCTTTGTAAGACTGTGGAATAAAAGTTAGTATAAAAGAAGCTTGGAGGATATGCTGTCTCCTACAGAGAGGAAGAAAAAAGGGTAGGCAAATGAATCTGATATCTGGAATATATGTTATGTTAGTAAGTGAAACATCAAACCCTTATGCTGCTTTTATCTTCTACATATGTAGTGTTTAAAAATAGAAATTGTGCATATCTATGAAATTAAATGGCTAGCTGAATTTTGGAGAGCTTCTTTAATATCTAAATTGATATGGAAGATAAATTGGTGCTGACGTTCTGTGGTAGCTACTGGGACCTCACTTTGTGGCATGACTGGTAAAAAAATTTGCTAAAA